TCGAATCCACCCTTGGTTTTTGAGGTGGACGCAGCCGTGCTAGATGCTGTTGCAGCGGGGAATGTCCCGCTACTGGTGCCTCGGCATCCAGGAATATAGGGGCGATGGGTAGCGGGGGAGCACCCTGCTCGATTCAGGCAGGGGCTTTCTGTCATTCCGAGGATTTAGATCCCGAAGACCCAAACCCTTAACCGCTTAACGTCTGCTTCAAGAGGTTGCATTTCTCATGTCGTTGACTTGTAGTGGCTCCCAGCAGGCACCCCGACGAACTTTGCTTGACTGGAATTGATATTGAAAGATTTTCCAAAGGCAGTTTTCGAGTCACTCATTCACGCACACACACACACACACACACGCGCGCGCGCGCACGCACACAGATGCCGACACTTCGTCGAAGCCCTAGACAGTGTATTTCGGCTGTGTACCCGAAACTGCACGGTCGATCCTGCAGGTGCAGTCGAACGTGTGCGTCGGCAGGCCGGGTCATGGCTGCCTCTTCGACACTTCTGGGTTTTTCAAAGATCTTACAGGGACTTCTGGGCCGTCAGAGGTATGTATCAACCACCATGTACAACGGTTTAGGTTTTGGAGGCTGTGCTTGACAGGGGTTTAAAATCCTTTCAGAAGCTATAGTGTCATTATCGGGGACCGTGGCGGGGACCTCAAATCCAACATGTATCCTTTGTATGATTGTTGACCCGGAACTGCACCCTCAACTAACTATTTGCGAAATGTGGTGAGGCTGGTAGATGCTGCGAAGAGCGCAGGAGCCCAGACGATGCCCGGCTCTTTCTCATTTCTCTACGCGGGCTTTCGGGTTTAGGTCTCGGGGAGGCCTGGTTGTCTACAGCAGGCCACTTCGAAGGTTGGAGACACTGGGTGCGCCTGCTAACCCCAAATAAAAAGCAATTCAGGCATGAGGCCCAACAAGTACGTTTGCTTTTAAAGCCGTGGCCCAGTGCTGAGACGAAAATCTCGCACAAGCGAGGAGGATGTAGAAGAGGTTCGCCACAACAGACAAGGAGTGTCTGCATGAATCCGAAGACGAACTGCCAGCGCCGCCGAGGAATGGACTTGTCGTCGACACTGCCGGCCGTCAGCGAATGCTTATCCAGCGGACGCTGGGGCCAATTGATCTTGGGTTCTGTGCCGGGGCGTTCGAGCCTAAACATCCCGAAACCCTCAGAATGCAAGTTGACATATGAACACTTGCATCAATGAGGCAGGTGGCCCATGAGCCAACGGCTGAACGAGGGCAGTTAGTTTCCTCTTGGAACGAGCTAGCCACTTTTCTGTCCACTGCAGAACGAAACGCGACACGTCAACAGGTCAACCCGTGAGCAAACGTGCAAGAGGACAAGATAGCATTGGTTCATTGGCGTCCCATGTTTGATACCAATCCCAAAGTGCTTCACAGCCGATTGTCGTCGAGGGCCAAAACATCCGTTCGGAGGTGTCCAGCTGGGTTCGCAGCATAGGAAGAGCCAGGCTCGCATAGGGGAAAGAAGCCGTCAACATAAGGAAAAGAGGAAAGCCAGTCGCCTGAGGGGAGAAACCCACGGCATAGCAAAATGTGGGTTTACTGAGTTCGGATGGGAGCCTTACACATTCGGTGCCATATCTCAAAATGTCGACAGCATTTTTGAAGCATATTCTATCCACCTCCAATCGCCCAGGATGTGTAAGGAGTCTTTCCTTATCGCCTCAGGCGGGGCAGAAAGCAAAGTGACGTGTCAGCCTGGGCTGGGGCTAGAGGTTTGGTGCATTTCAGGATCCATCAGTAGTTTTAATTTCGGGGTTGGGGTCTTAGGGTTCAGTTCCAAGGTGTGGGATTTCTTCAGGACTTTAAGATTGCATAGTCGACTATAAAGTTCCGTGGGGACGGACTTATAGTCAGGAGCCCATGTCCGCTATTGCTTCGTTCTGCCGCGACATGCTTATGCGGCTTATATTAATCCAGAACATAGAAATCTGCCATCCCCCATTTGAAGCCTTGCGCCCCGAACTGAGACAGCCGGTTGTTTGAGATTTTGGTCAAGGCTTTGCCAGCTTGACTTCAGCACACCGGAAAGGATCGTTGCCGGTTCCTTGTTGGCAGCACTGGAACTTTGCAGGCGTAAGCGTCTCCACCAATGTCGCACTGCTGAAGAGCAACGAGACCCTTGAGCACGAATACGGCTTGGCTTAGATTTAGGGCCAATTGCATGCAGGGATGTCTTCTGTGATGTACCACGACGCTGGACTTCTACACTTCTAAACGTTGGAGCAGAGTCAAGGCCCAGTCAAAGCATCCTTTCAGTGCTGTAACACGAATCTTGACTCTGGACTAGGGGAGCCCATTTTCAAGGGCAGGTAGGTAGACACGCCGCAGCAGCCGAGCAACAGTAGCAACAGCTGCTGCTGCTGGTGTAGTCGTCGCGACGTTCTTGTGGCAAGCATGCCGCTTGTTGTCGTCGCACTCGTCGTTGTCGCAGTTGCAGCCGCAATTATTGTAGTCGTAATGGTGCTGGGCAGTAGCAGTAGCAATAGCAGTGGCAGTGGCGGCAGTAGCAGTAGTAGTAGCAGTAGTTGTAGTAGCAAAGCGCCACGAGCGGTTCAAACGCGGGGAGGGTGCATGGCCGGTGCTGAACTGACTTCGAGTTTGCATCTGAAGGCTGCAGCAGAGGACATTGCTGGATCACTTTCTTGGGCAGTGTGTTGCTGAGTCCACAAAGATCTACTGCATTGATCTGTTGGGGGCTTACTGGAGTGGAGCCTCAGCAGACTGCGTGATCAGAGACGTTGTGGAGTGGGCCTTTTGTGCCGTAAATTATCCAGAACAGCTACTTTATTTTGAAGAATCTTCTGGTGATGGGAGTACAACTGTTCTTCGGCCTGGCCACGTGCCCCGACAATGAATCCTCCAAGATAGAGATGTGCAAGGCGTCTACAGAACACACCAGTTTTTCGCCAGCAACTACTTTCTTTCCTTTACTTGGAGGTGCTCGCTCGACCCGGTCCCAATTCCGGGAGGGGACAGGTACAGATGTGGAAGATGGTGTTCTTCCAAGGTCCCCTGGCGTGAGGGTTGGCGGCTCACCCTCCGGTCCGTCTGCAGCTTCGGCGAAGAGGAGGGAGCATACAGTCGGCTCGTTTACCGCTGCAAGTGTTTGTATGAGCAGGGTCAAGAAGAGGTCGCTGCCCAGAGCCATCACGAGGGCACGGCAAGGGAAAGATGCAACTTACAGGAGCAGACGTATCCTGCACAATCCGGCATGCCCGTACGTGCCGGCAGACGAGCAGCCGCAGAGAGTACAGCAGCGCTTGCATGTTCTGTCCTGGAATTGCAGCGGATTGACGCAGCTGTTGTTTGAGGAGCTCAAGTTGTTTCTGAAACAACGCCCGGAGATTCAGGTAATCACCTTGCAGGAAACCCATCGTGCTTTTCAGAGAGTGAATGGGTGGCGGAGGGCTGGACCTTTGTTCATAGTGCTGCCTCTAAACCTCATCAAGGTGGGGTGCTGCTGGGCTTTCGTGATGGGTTCTGCGATAGAGGTTCCTTAAGGTGGCAAGAATTGCATCCAGGCCGACTTCTGCATGCTAGGTGTTTTTCGAAGGACCAACACATGGATTTTGTATGTCTTTATCAGCATGCTCTTCCTTTTGAGTCTGATGCACTGACCACCACTATGGGCAAGCGCAAGCAATTGTGGAACAAGCTGGATGCCCCGCTGCGATCCATGCCTGTCCGCTCCTCGGTTGTCATTGCTGGGGACTGTAATTCCAATCTGAATACGGTGGTACCCTGCATTGGTTATGGAGTGGCGCACAACAAGGCCAAGGCTGAAGTTGTTGAGGAGCGTAAATGGTTGTCCGGAATGCTTGCATCACACCAGATGACTGCCTTAAATTCCTGGTCCAAGAAGCTGTGCACCTACACACACCCCTCGGGGAGGTCTCAGATTGACTGGATTTTCGCCAGAGCTCCTCTTGCAGATAATGTTGCCAAGGCCTGTGTCCCTCAGGAACCCCCGGTTGCTGGCTGGAGGTCTTCGGGCCACAAGATCCTGCGAGCTTCGATACCACTGCAATGGCAGCCCTGGCGCATCAAGGCCAATAACATTCGACGGCAAACTGGTCCCAAAAAGGGGATGGAGCCGCCAATGGCGACGCAGCTTGCTGCTCTTCGGCGCGAGGTAGCGCAGCAGCCCGAGCAGGACAGACGGCAACTTGTTCGACCAGGGGTTCAAGGGATAGATGGGGAGATCATTACCTTGTGGGAGGCTCGTAGACTGTTGGCCAGGCGCCAGGTTTTCACGATGCGGGATGCTTTTGTTCGCATGCGGCTGGTTCTTCAGCTTCAGAGACGACGCAGGGAGTTGCAAGCACAAATTAAAGCTCGCAAACGGCAGCAGCTTCTGGATACACTCTGGTTGGCAGAGCAGGCGGCGCAGACAGGGGACAGCAAAGGGCTGTTTCAATGTGGGCGGTGGCTGGCCCCTAAGACTGTTCAACGTTCAATTCGGCTTCGCAGTGAGTCCGGCCAGCTTATGCATCCTAAAGAAGAGTGTCGCATGCTTGCGGACTATGCTGCCGACTTGTTTGCCGCCAAGCGTCATAATGATGTTCCACACCTTGTTTTGGAGCCCCTTGACCCGGCAGTGTTTGATGCTGAAATTTGGGAGCGGTCGTTTTTGCGGTTGCGCTCGGGGAAGGCAGTCCCGCATGATGCTCCGTCGGTGCAGCAGTGGAAGAACGTGGCCCCGCTCACCTCGGGGGTGCTGCGTGAGATTGCTGTGAAATCTCTGTGCGGCCCGAACCCCAGCATCCCAGAGGAATGGACTGAAGTTCAGCTTGCATGGCTTGCAAAGGCGGGTAAGACCCCCTCTCACCCGCGCAACCTCCGCTCCATAGGTCTCATGCCTGCCGATACCAAAGCCTTTCTCTTGGTGCTACGTGAAGCTGCTTCCCCGCACATTGACAGCTGCTCCGGGAATTCCCTCAGTATGCGTATCGAAAAGGCGCCTCCACTGCGGATGCTCTCTTGAGAGCTGCTGGGCACTGCTTTGATATTCGGGCTCTTTTGCGTCAGCACCGGAAAGATCACACTGCCAAGCTTCTTGGGGATGCTGATGTCCCGATGGTTGGGGGAATGATGTGCGGGTTGGACCTGCACAAAGCTTTCGATGCTTTGCCGCACTCAGAGATTCTTCTTTCACTGACGGAAGCGGGTGTTCCTTCTCCTCTTGCAGGTGTCATTGCGCAAGCTCACATGCAAACCAGATGTGTGGTTCGTCATGGGGGCGTGGAAAGGGAGGTGTGCATGTCTCGGGGCTTGAGGCAGGGCTGTCCAATTGCTCCAATTGTGTATGCTGCCTGGTCCTGTCGTCTTTGTCGGCTGGTCGATCAACGGCTCGACAGGGATTGGATGGCCAATCATGGCACTCTTTTTGCCGATGATATTTTCTCGTGCTGGGAGATACGTACAGTTCAAGCCCTGAAAAGGGCGGTCCGTGACCTTCATGCTCTCATTGAGACACTGCAATCACTAGGTATGGAGGTGAACTGTCAGAAGTCCGTGGTGGTGTTGAAGTTGTGTGGCAAGGCGGTTGCTCAAGCTTGCAAGCATCTATTGGTGTGGCGGGAGGGAGTTCAGCTTCTTCGTCTTCGGGGGGAACACAACCAAAATGACATTTACATCCCATGCCAGAGCTCGATGCCATATCTTGGCGCTGCACTGTCGTATGACAACTTTGAGCTGCAGACCTTCAAAACACGAGCTGCCCAAGCAAAGTCGCGTTTTCAGGAGCTTCGGCGGGTCCTGTGCACGGATGGGGCGATTACCTGCAGACATCGGCTTCGTCTGTACAAGGCCATTATTTGGCCTACTCTGTGGTACTCGCTGGCCAGTGTAGGGGTGACGATTGATGTTCTCAAAGGTGTCTGTTCGCTTCTTGCTGTTCAGTTACGCAAGGTTCTCAGGATTCACGAGGAAGGCATAAGCAATAAGACTGTGCTTGAACAAGCAGGGCTGGATCCGCATGCCTTCTTCCGGTGGCAGGCTGTGAGCAAAGGGGAGTCCATACTCTCAGACCGCAGGCGAGCCGAGAACATCAAGGTGCAGGAGAGCAAGCACTGTTATCGGGTACATCAATGCCTGCTCCAGTTTGAGGACACTTCCACATCGATGATGACCACCTTGGTGAGGGTGCCGAACGTCGAGGCAGTGTCGGTTGCCTGTCCAGTGTGCGGTGTCTACTACGACTCACAGGCCAGCCTCCAGATGCACATGAAGCACAAGCACCAGGAGGTGAACGTGAAAGCAAGGCTCCATTTTCGACGTGATCTTCATGCATTGCATGGACTGCCTATTTGTCGATTCTGCCAGATTCGGTTATTCGATTGGCGCTCGCTTGAGAAGCACATCACGGAGGGCACCTGCCCCAGAATCAAGGAACTGGTGGCTCAAGGGTTGAGTGAATCTGCTATGCTCCAGGTTGTTGAGAGAGAGGAGAAGACCGCGGCTGCGCCGGTGGCGCCGCCGAAAGCTACCACTCAACAGACCTTGATTGAGAAGATCGACGAGGCTTTGAAGGTCACGCCCCAGGAACTTGAGACTCATGGAGGGCGTCTGCGTATTCTTGCAACGCATTGTGCATTGTGCAGGCAGCTCGTTGCGGATGGCAGCAAGATGAAGAATCATTGGCAGCGCACTCATGTCCATGAATGGGATCGTGTCTCCTCTGGTGCGATTGCAGGCTCCAAGAGTTTGTCGGCCACCTTCAGCCGGCCCTGTGTATGCTGCGGGAGCCAGGCGAAGAGCTCTAGGGATCACTCGGGCAAGTGCACTTCGATGTTTCAACTACTTGCAGTTCGTGAGCTCAGGCAGAAGAGCTTTTCTCCTGAACCGAGCAGGGGCCCCTCAGAGAAACAGTCTAGTACTGATCCACAATACAAAAGCTTTGATGTGGCCAAGACTCCAATTGGGCAGTTCTTCAAGCGGTCCTCCAACGGCAGCGATGGACCCAGCAAGTCAGTGGGTGTCAAACAGAGCAAGCCTTCCTCTGCTGTGGTCATAAGGAGCGAGGAGAGTGGTCGCTCCCAGGGAAGCGCCGAGGATCTACCTGATCTATGGCTGCCTCGCCTCGTCCTTGGCAATCCCAACAACCACTGCTACATGAACGCCTCGGTGATAGCGCTGTTACATGCAGCACAGGTCTATGGCTGTTCTACCAGGGCTTTGTTGTCTTTGCGGGGACTCTGTCAGGCCTCAGTCCGTCGGCGTGGCACATTACAGCTAGCCTCTCAGCTTGTGGTTCGCTCTCTTCTCAGGCGTTGGACCTTTGATGATCGTCAGCATGATGCCCTGGAATTCTCGTTGGTCCTTGCGAGAGGCGAGAGGCCTCCAACTCGAGGAAAATTTGGTGTGGGAGGCGAGATATGTTGATCCTGCTGGGATCCAGGTTCCTCACACTGGCTTTCAGCCCATCTCCCGGAAGCTCCGGATCGAGGCATGCTCTCTTCAGGCTTTAGTGCATGACTGGTCTTCCCAGGGCTATGTTCATGCGGTCGTCATGCAGGCTGGTCCTCTACTACTGCACATTGTTCGCAATGCGGAGGCGGGCAAAAACTGCACTCGGGTCTTCCTGGAGGCGACTGTCAGGATTCCTTTCTTCGTTGAGGGTGTCAGTGTCGAGTGGCGGCCGTACAAGGTTGTGTCCGTTGTTGAGCACCATGGCGCGAGCGTCGACTCGGGGCACTATCGCTCGCTCCTCAAAACCTCTGATGGCTGGTTGCATTCGGACGACAGCATTGTTGCCGCCCCTGCTCTCTGGAGTGCCGAACGTGAAGCATTGATGTATCTTTTGTGGCTGGTGCCGGCTCAAGAAGCAGGCGGCTCAGCCTTTTCCCTTGATCGCCTGCTCTAGCGACCCTCGTGGTCGCTCCCCGGCTGCTGGAAACCATGAGCTTCCCTGACTCGTACATGGAGGGATCTGAGGAGTGGAGCAATACATGCCGGCGGGCATACAGCTTCGACCGGGCACTCCCACGGCGCTTTCGGACGCCACCACGGTCGAGGAGCGCGATCCCAAAGCCCCGCGCTTTGCTGACCCCAAGAAAAATGGTGGTGGTGGTGGTGGCAAAGGCCGCGAAGGCCAGGCCAGCGGCTCCAAGGATGGCGGGGGCAATGGCAATGGGGGTGGAGCTCATCAGGGCATGAAGCGCAACTACCAGCCCTGGCGGCGCACTGGTGGATGGAAGAAAGATGAGTGGCGTGATGATTGGTTCTCGGCCAAGGATGGTGCCACCGCCTCGGCGACGGACATGCAGGAAGTGCACAAGGTGCTAGGCGTGTTGCAAAGGCTGGCCCTGCGACACGAAGACTCCATCAATCTGCTGAAGTTGGAGTACAGCTTCGTGGCCCACATGAAGATTGGAGTGCCTGCCTCTGTGGTAGGGATGCTGTATGTGGCGGCGGATGGATGGAGAAAACTCAAGGAGAGCGAGCCTGCGAAGCTGGATCGGCCCATGAGCACCTCCCTCTTTGTCTGCTTCTTTGCTGAGCTGAAGGCCCGCCTCACTGGCTTGGAGCAACAGCCTGATGATGTGGAAAAGATGGCGGCAATGGGCTGGCTCAATCCGGGCCCTCCCATGACCTGGGCATACTTGAAGTGGGATCAGGGCAATCAACGAAATGTTGTTGACACGGACAAGCCGCCGCTCCGGACAGCCGAAATCCTTGAGCAGGTGGACACTTTGTTGGCCAATGTGGTGGCCAACAATAGCCTGGCCCGCTTCCACCCCACCCGGCCTCTCTCCAGCGATATGCAGGGGGACAACGTCGTCTTCTTGATCCAGGTGGGCACCGCCACAGACTCCCCGGTGAATCTCAGGAATGGCCTGCAAGCATTGTGTCACAACTCGGTGCTGCAAGTTGTGGCGACGCAGCTCAAGGCGGACAGGCCTATGCGTTCGGCCCTGGCCAACAACCTGGCTGCGACCATCAGGCGCTGAGCCATGACTGGCGACATGGAACTGTCGCGAGGGCTATGCTTGCAGCCTGCAGCTTTTTGGCCCTGCTCATTTTCATGCTTTCAGTGGTTGTTTTGTGGAGGCAAGAGCTCTCCACCGGGAGCCTGCTTGGCAGTTCGCTGCGGGGCTCATGCTGAATCATGTGATGAAATGAGGGGCGTATGATATTGGGGAGATGGAGGAACATTGCAAGCTCCATCTTGAAGCTTTGAGCAGTGACCGGCTGGTGCAAAATACCTCGCAGAGTGCGTGTTCCTGCGTGGCAGTGGTTGTGGAGTTTCTCGCCATAGCCATTGTCTACTAAGGTACTCGCTTCGTTTCCCCGTGCTATGATGACTCGTGGAGTGTGCAGATGGCTGGACATAGTCGTGGCCTTACCTTTGGTGCGCTCTTTACAAAGTGGGTTTTCAGTGGCCTGAGCTTTGGTGTCCTGAGCTGCAGTGGTCTCGTTCTTAACTTTGTTTGGTGCTTTGCCGGGCTCTGGAGGCGAGATACGGAGTGCAGTTCTCATTGTTCGCTTCTAACAGGAGCCACGCAGGATCGAAGTCGCAATCGGCCCGGAGAGAGAACCCTGGAGCACTACTTTGTTCCACGAAGTTCTTCTCAAAGTGCGAGTGGCCCTGCAGCTTCCAGTGCCAATGCACAGCAGGCTGTGACAGTGCCACTGCAAGTGGCCTTGCAAATCAGCTCTGATGAGGAAGAGGGACCTGCGCTGGCGGAGCCGGTGTGTCCCCTAGGAGCCTCTCGATGCTTCACCCTTGGAGGCATCTACATGGCAGGGGTATATCCGCTTTCCTCTACTGAAGCTGATCTGCGATATGCTTTTGCGGCGCAGCACATTTACCTGGTCAGGGATGTCGATGTTCGGGGCCTAAGTGTTCCTGACTCCTGTCAGGTTGAAAGCCTAGCTTTTTCTATGGTTGTGCATGGACAGACAACGTGGACGCAACTGCAGAGGTTGAGTAGCTGGCTGCCGTCGGACAGGCGTATTAGGTGGAATCCGACGTGGGGTGTTGAGGATCCGGACTTTGCCCCGTCTCGTTTTACCACTGGCGCATGGAACTTTGGAAGCCAAGCAGGTATGACCAATAACTCAAATATTTTTCCGTGGACAACCAGAGTATTGGCCAGCATTGTTCATACATGGAACCCAGAGCACAAGTTCACGACCTGCTCCCTAACCCTCAACATGGTAGCAACGCCACATCGCGACTCAAGGAATCTTCGTGGATCGTTGAACATGTCGATGCCATGCTCGGAGTTTACAGGTGGCCAGTTGTTTGTTGAGGACCCCAACGGCAGGACCCGCCTCAGTGCTGGAGGACCACAGGGGCACATGCTGTCGCTTCAAGAGGTGACTTCCTTCGAGCCTCATAGACTGCATGCGACGCTTCCTTGGAGTGGAACACGGCTGCTTCTTCTTGCGCATCATATTGGGCAATATCGCAGGCTCTCAGACAGTGCATGGCGAAGCCTGAGTCTCTGTGGATTTCATCCTGTCCAAGGTGATGAGAATGGGCAGCCATAGTTGTTGCAAGTTTTGACTGAGGACTGAGTGGAATGGCCTGAGCGAAACGTGGCTCTTTCTTCGTTCTGCACTCCTGTGTCCCAGGCTTGCTTTATGGCATTGGCTGCCTAAGGTCATGCAGGAAGCTCCTTTCGAGGGCAATGATCCGAGAGCTGTGATGAGGGCAGTTTTCTTTCCGTACAGCCTGCTCTTCAGAAACGTAGCATCTTTTTGGGCATTTTCAATTCTTAGACTCTGCTGTCTCTCAAGTGGCAGATTCTGTGGATATAAGCCATCACTGTGCAGCGTGTTAATGTACTGGTGCATGGGTGCAGAGACTGCTGGGCCTCGGCCCGGGTCGCTGACGTGCTTGGTCCTTCGGGGCGGCGTCACTGCATTCTGTGTGTGCGGTAAAGCGTTGTCGTAGACAACGCTGCTCCGGTAGCCAGGCAAAGCCTGCCGACTCGCCAGGTGGACCCCGGACGTTCGCCGCGAATGGAAGGAAGGAAGGAAGTTGTGGTAGCAGTAGTTGCAGTAGCAGTAGTTGCAGTGAAAGGGGCACGCCTTGTAGATTGTCTGCCACCGCCAGCTGTTTGTTGCGAATCGAGTAACGAGTCCCTGCGTGACTTGTTGCGCCCTTGCTTTAGCGTAGAACTAGGCTAATGCAATATAGCCGTCAAGGAATCAAACTACTAGCGGTGCCTGTTGCACGCGCAGCTGGCCAGTGTAGTTTTATAGCCCTTGGTTTGCGTCCGACGAGTGCCCGCCGCGCACTCGTGACGTCTGGACTGTCGAGCTTCGCCCGCAGCGCGGAAACCGGCAGACAGCTACGATTGCTGCTGGGGTTTATTGACCGGGTGCAAGCAGCTAAACTTCCCACACCCTGTTCTGTGACCCTTTAGGGAATCACGAGGTAAAACAGGTCGCGTCCGAGTGACGCTTCTTTCAGTTGGGGGCTGTTCCGGGAATTAGAACGGGATGCTTGGCAGCAGCTACGCCACGTTCGCGATCTCTGTCGCTGGACGCTGGAACCCGCGGCCGGAGTTCCGAGCCTTCACGTCCCGATGTGACGCGTGAGGAGCGCGAGCGTATCGCACTGAAGGCGCGCCAACACCTGATGTCCATGATGGGGCCAAAACGTATGGCACCTTCCTTACGGCACGGATCTCTAAGCTCGTGGCCTTTCCGTCACGACCAGCGAGGTGGCGGCAGAGCTGTGCCACCGGGTGCACCCCATGTGTACGGCACAACAGCACCGGCCGGTCCAGCCGACCGTGTTGGTCGAGGAGACCGAGGGCAGCCCGCTGCGCGGCCTTCGGCTTCTTCACGCGAACCTTCGAGAACTTCAGGGCGGCGTGCTGCCGCTCTTAACCTCGTGGGACACCGAATGGCGGGGAGGGAGTCTTCGTTGAGATGGCCCGTCCAGACTGCAAGAACGAGGCTGTTTCGCTTGCAGAGAGCTGTGTTGGAAAGGCGCAGCCTACACGCGTTTTTCCAACATGTGCCGTTCCACGCCTACTGCGTGCATTGATGGTCCCGACCACCTGCTCCGCACCACAGGTGCAGGTATCAGCAAGCTACTTCAGCAACCTGGTGCCGCTCCCATGGCGGTCTACTACCGGTACAAGGGTGCGGCGGAAGCTTACCACGAGGATGGAGGGACCGTTCCGGCTGCAGTCTCTTCCAGAGAAGGCCGAGAGCTCCTTAGACACTCGGAGTTTGCCTCCGAGTTCCGCCGGGTCCGTGTGTTCCTCTTACGACTGGCTGTGGGGGAACTGTGGACTGGGGACTGGTGTCACCGCCCAAGTTTCGGCGCAAAGACCCGGACAAGCACACCCTGCCAGTGCCCGACTTCCTGCTGTGCGAGACGGCTGCTGGAGCGGGGCCGATCTACGAGGACGATGCGCCGAGGAGAGCCTAGACTGCGAAGCCGCCTGGCTATGCTGCTGGTTTCTTTAAGAGCGGCAAGCCGCAACTCTTCGACATCTCTTCGTCGACGCACAACTCAGGCAGCGAGTCGGCTCTCCTGCCATCGTGCAGGAGATTAGGAGGCAGCGTGAACAAGACACAAAGCAGCGTGCCGTGCAGCTCAAGACGCTCAAAGAAGAGAAAAGCGTGTTCAATTACTCGCTCTGGGACGATTTGCCCGTGTTTGGTGACGGTGACTCGGAGCTTGACAAGCACTTGGAGGCTTTCCAGGACGTGTGCCTGTAGTCAAGCCGAAGAATGCCCGCGAGAAGCTCAGGCTTTTCGCCCGTATCCTCAAAGGTACACGTCGGCGATGCTACGACACGATCGTGAAGGAGGCAAAGCACAATGGAGACTACGAGGCGAAGCCCTCGGCAGTCTTTGACCGACTCGTAGCGGCTTTGGACGGGTTTTTCCATGTGAGTATGAAGGCTTGGTCGAGGTATGACAACCTCGAGAAGACGGCGACTCCCTTTCAGGAGTTCCAGGTGAGCTGGTTGGAAGCCTTTACGGAGCTTAACGCTGCTGGTGTGTAATTACAAGTGCCAGAAGGACCGGCTTGACGACTATACTTGCACAAGGCCGGGTCGTTTCTCCTTGATGAGGTGTCACGAGTCCGGCGCTTTTGGCCTCTGACGCCTTCGCTTGGAGTCAAGCAGAAATTCCGTGGAGTGGAAAACTGGTCTTGAGGCCGCTCACTCTTCGTAAGGCGCCAACAAGGCTTTGGAGTCCCACCACGCAGGCACGAGGCTGACGTTCAGGAGCAGTACGCTACCGGGGGCCAACCCCGGTGGTGGCACTGGAGGCAGTGGCGGTGGGCAAAAGGGCAAAGGAAAAGGCAAGGGCGACAAGCTAAGGGCGGTGGGGAGTTAGCAACCGTGCCGACTCTTTGCTCGAAGGCGGTGCGCTTACGGAGAGAAGTGCATGTTCACGCATGTCACGGTGGTGTATGTCAGTACGGCTTCTCGTGCTGAGACCCCGAACTTAAAGGAAACTACAGTGGGCCCGGTTCACCAGAGCACACCGTGAACACAAAGCCAGAGCGAAAGCCCGTCGTCTGGCCATCGCCGTAACCTGGTAAGCTGCAGGGTGGACAGCTACTGTCGCGGATTGTTGAAACACTGGTATGTGTACAACATGATGTCGATCACATAGGGGCCTGACGTTGCGGACGAGATTTCCCCTCTCGCCTGAGAACCTTTGAAGCTGCAGGCAGATGAATGGAGGGGGGGAAATCAGAGCATGAACAGCTGCCTGAAGATGCCACTTGTCAATCAGCCTCTGAAGATAGAGGTTTTCCTCTGCATGCAGTGGCAGGATGAGTGGAGATTGCAGTGTACCCGAGTCCCAGACTCGGATACCTTCGTCCGTCATGACCCGAGCCTCCCATCGTGTAGCAAGCCCCTGTATCGCCAACCTTGGAAGAAGGTGAGTGACCAGTTCTGGAGCATCATGCTGATGGTGCAGCCTCTGCCACCCCTGAAGGAGGAGTGTCCATGGAAGCTGTCTTGATGAGCTGAGACTCGTGGATGCGGATCTTTGGATGTTACAGAGAAGGCTGAGGGCCGGGGCAATGCGAAGAGAGCCAAAGCCATGAAGCTGGACCTGAAGCAGTGTCCATGTGGCCGCAAGGGCTGTGGAGTTCAAATAGCACAGATTGGTATCATTGTGCAAGGATACCTGGAGCAATGCTCGAAGGCTAGGGATGGCGTTCAAGCAGAGTTCCACAGATCCGCTGTCAGGGAGTCGTAGTTCGGTCGATTTCGTCGCAGTCGGCATCCCAGCGTGTGCCACGAGGACTGGCCGATCCATGACTTTAGAGTGGCCCACAATGGTGCTGCTTCCGCTCTCAACGATATGGCAATCTGAAACTGAATCCACTCCGCCGTCACATCCGGGCTCAGGCGACGGAGAGATTTGAATCGGAGAAGACTTTCCTCGTTGATGGCCTTCCGAACATTGGTGATCTGATCGAGCAGGTCCTTGGTGGGAACCGGCTGATAGGAGTGGTCCACCTCCAGACTTTGCTGAGCTGGATTCCAGTGGAGAACCCGCCAGCTCTGGTCGTTGTCCAGCCAGCCAAGGCTCTTGGCGTGGTCCATGGCTTGAGCGTCCTGCTGCGTGGTTGTCAACCGCTCGAACAACGAGATCAACAACTGCTTGAACATCGCCAATTTTAGGGACATCTGCAGTTTCCCCGGGATTCCTCTTTCATTTGCCTCCACTTGTCCGCCGCCTGACACATGACCGGGATCATCCCTTTGTCTCCGCTCCGAACGAAAAGATAAAGCATCATGTCTTGTCGAAGGTTTGCTAATGTCTGCTCCTGACGAAGCACCAGTTGGGTTAGGCGAGTAATCCGATGCTCCATCCAGTCTGCTGACTCGCGATGATCCCTGCCCAGTCTCTGGAATGTTCCATCTCCCGTCCATGACGAGTGGTACCCGAGGCTGGGAGCAGCTCGATCCCCCGCCCAGGGTGTCGACAGCTCCTCTCCCGAACCAGTGCTGTAGCCCCAGGCCTGTGACAGGGGGTATCCGCCGTGTTGAGAGGATTGTCCTGGAAGAGGATTTCCCTTGCCCTTGCCCTTGTTCTTGCCTTTCCCTCCTTTGCCCTTGGAACGGTCCTGTGGCTCCAGACGTTGCCGTTTGGCAGGGCCGAGCGTCGGAGGAATCGTGCCAGTGTCGGCCGCCCGAGGTTCCCTCTTCACCGGTCCCGGGTGGCCGAAGAACAGCTTCTCCTGATCGTCCATGTCCATCTCCTCCGCCAAATTGGCCATTGGCACGGTCATGTCGCACACTAAGGAAGGCACAGAGACTAAGTACTTGACATTGATACCAGTGCCTGTCTTTGTTGATCTTATCTTGATGACAATACCTGCAAGGCACCACTGTATGGCGCCTGAAACCTTTAAGAAGAGAGCGAATGCTAGGTTGCAGAGTCTGCCATTCAGCATGCTGATTGGTCATGTGGCTCTTGATCCCAGCAGGTGTCGCCGCCCATTGAAGACATACCGGGATGTTGAAGACACTGCTGAACAGCTGCGTGCTCTGTCAGTTTCATCCATGTGCCATTCCGAAGGTGCCTGTGTACAAGAGGCCAGTCCTGGAGGGGGACCTGGGCAGGCATATCATCCTCTTGTCTAGGTTGAGGAGACAACTGCGATGAGGATGTTGCTCTTTCGCCTTCAGAGGCGGCTGGAGGCCCTGCCACAGCAGGAGCAGTGGCTAAGCGATCCTGAGACAGTGTGGAATGTTCCTGCACCGGACTGATGTGGGGTCCGTATCTCCCGGGGCAGACACTTGCGTCGTCTCACTCGGCACTCCTGGGGAGGCAGTTGGCGGTGTCGGATTTACTCTTCTCAGAACCTGGCATCGTTGTCTCTGAATGTGTTGCTGCAGGTTTGCCCATTGCCGAAATCTATGTCCACAGTGCCTGCAGGTAGGCATGCCATCTGTGCCATGTGCAAATCGGTCAAAGTCGGCCTGCTTGGGGCTTGGAGTTTTCAGCTGATGCCATTTGGCCTCATGGGATCGAAGGAGTCGAAAGGAATGGAAGGTTCTGCCACACGTGTGGCAGGGATAACCAGGTTCGCCGCCTGTAGTGTGGGTGGTTTCGTCCACCCCAATCATGTCGGCCGCCTGGAGGTTGGCAGCCTGTGCTCGTAGTGCCTCCAGATGGGACAATGGTACAAGAGGCGTCGTCTCAGCATGGGTTCTGAGGCGCCTGAGCAGTCCTTCAGTTTCCTTCTGGAGTTGGGCCTGTGCAGATAAGACTCCGCATCGCAGAAGTACTTTGCACGAAGACTCATGCTGCATGTGTGCGTAAGACTTAGCCATGGCTCGCACGTGCTTGATGATTAAGGACTGCATACGGGTTCGTTCTTTGGGCTCTGGATCTACAGCAGCCAGTCCATACATTAGTGTTGGAAGAACCGTGGCCTTCCAAAGGGAGATTCTGTGAGCCAGCGCGAGGCGTCCACTGGAGCAGAGGACTCCCCGAAGTCGCTGCCAAGCCTGATTGGCCACCTGTAGACGGTACAGAGTGGTGTGCTTAGCCATGGCATGGTACGAGATCTTCACACCAAGATAAGTGTGTTGATCTCGCATGGGGAACCGAAATTCGCGGCCTTTGGGTGTGCGAAGATATAGAAGGTCTCCCTCCGAGGTGTGCTGCTTGTGCCGCCTCAACCACTTTTTGATGAAGGAACCGCGATGTCTAAGGAGAACGGCTGACTTGGTTGCATTGATAATCATATCATTATCTGCTAATGCGTCAAGCATCGTGCCGAAGTTGTGCAGGATACGATCGAGATGGGAAGAGGTGCTCGCCACCTCCATGAGGTGGATGTCGTCCGCATAAGTGGTGGTGTTGTTTTGTAGCCATGATGTGGTGACCTGATTGGTTGTATCAGTAGCTACGGATTTGAAGACGTGTCCCATCATCGCCCACAAGATCGGGGCAAGCTGACAGCCCTGACGAGGCCCTGTTGGGCAGTCACCTGGGCCGTCTTGTTCAGATGCTCTATGTGATATGTGACCTCAAAATACCACGACATGACCTGGTTTCGCAGCTCTGTGTCAACACCAGCGTCAAGTAGAGCACGATCTATCAACCTCCAGTTCAAGAGATCGAAGGCGTTTGAGAGGTCCAACGACAATTGGACCCCGGCGAAGTGTGGAGCAGACTCCGGACGACACTCCTGCCTATCAGCAACGGTACGAATCACATGCGAGCACTTCATCTGCACGTACTTGCAATGTTGCGATACTCGGTGTATGGCCATTGCGGCCTCACGGCCCGCGAGATAAGCGTACTGCGAGGCCTCCCGAAGATAGGCGGATGCATGTTCTCTGAGTTGCTGCTGCAGCAGGCGGGCGTATGCCCACCCGCTGGGCTCGGTGAGTCCAATAGGACGCAGGTTCCGAGGCGAAACCGGCCTCGGAATCTTTGGTACCAAGACCAACCATGCATCCCGCCAGTCGGCCGGGATTTGCCTCCATGTGGATGCCATGTCGCACAGGGTGGGTGCAATGAGATCTGCAGTCAGCCTCCAGAGGGAATTGGTGGCCTGACCCGGAGGGGTGGCCTTATGCGGCGACAGCTGGGACAGTGCATGTGTCATGTGTTCCGGGTCGATCTGTACGTGCACTGGGGCTCTGGCCTCACCAGCTACATCAGGGTCCTCGTCCGCCGCATACAGGCGGCGATAGTATGTCTCAAGCTGCTTGATTTGATCACCTGCCGACTACAACTGTCCTTTGTCCTCTCGAAGCTGAACCTTCGCTTTGGCCTTTTTGGGCGCGACAGCGCGAACACCAGCAAACAGCGATCGGGTGTCGCCTCGACCGGCTGCAGCTTGTAGTTCGTCGATTTTGTCATAGAACCATTGCTTCTTGCATGCTTTGCCCGCCTGTTTGAAGGCTTTGTGAGCCTGTTTGAAGGCTTGGTACGCTCTGCTGATCTGCAGTACCTGGTCGGGTTGAGTCTGCGCAAGGTGCTTCCACTGTCGTCGGGCCTGCCACATGCCTTTGATTCCGATGCTCATGCAGGGCTGCTGCCAGGTGGCTAGTCGCTGCGGTCCCTTGACAGGAGGGAATACTTTCGTTGCACAGCTGATCAGGAGTTGGTTCAGAGAGGCAATGTCAGTAGCCGTGTGTAGCTCCTGTTTGACCATGTTTCGGAGGGCCTCCACTCGACTGTCGTTCGGGCATTTGCAAAGCTGCACCACCTCCCAGTGATTCCATGCTCTCTTGGGTTTCGCCGGGTGGTTGAGGGCCGGGAGGTGTTTCCCTCCAAGTCGCCAGGCGGCAAGGGCCAGGTCCACGGGCTTGGCCTGTTTGGCCCTGTTGCCGGTTTGAGACGCCCTCATCAGTACATGATCTATCAGGCTAGCACCTTTTGCATGCACAAACGTGGGACCAGCTGCCTTACACCACGAGTTTAGGTGTGCCAATCCATGTTCCTCGACGATGGTCTGAAGACGAGCCTGATCCGGTGGCATCGTACTGCCACCTGTTTGGATTCGCGGGCCGGCCTGAGGGTATGACGTCAGCGGGCAATTGAAGTCTCCCGCAGTCAGCAAGGTATGCCTCATGGGTATACGTTTCAGCTGAGCTTCAAGCACAGACCATATCTCTGCTCTGGTCTTCTTAGCATCTTGCGAGGCCTTGGGATGGAAACTATACGGCTTCTGGTAGACGTGGAGGAGATCCAGGGTCCAGGCTCTGCGGACGAGTCGGATGTGTTGTATCCTTCCCGGCTTGGGATCGGCTGTGAGGACTTAGGCAGGGCACTTTTGTCAAGAAGAACAACTAATCCCGCCGCCTTGTTGTCTGTCGTCGGAGATGTGTGGACAGGGAGGTACCCAGTAGACGGGTTTGCTAGGTACCATGGGCCAGTTCGCTATGCTGGTGTCTGCCTTGACTTTAGTCAAGACTGTCAAGATCCACCCTTTCCGGAACCATCTTCTTCGAGTCCAGGGGCATCTTGTTGCGATTGCTGCAGGATTTTCTAGGGTCTGTGGTTCCTCGGGCTGCAGCGGGAGACTCTTTGTTCCTGCACACAGGGATGTCATCAAGGGTCCACCAGACATAGTGACTCCACTGTCTGCCTGTAGGGCCTGGTGCCAGTGGCGCATGCAGACCTGGCCAGTCATCAAGTGCTGTCATCTGTCCTTGTCTGCTATCTCTCGCTTTGGATACTTTAGCATCAGCGTACTCACCTGGGCTCCAATCACGGCTCGTCACATGCCACCAGGGAGACGGCTGAATGTTTGAGGGAACTGCCTGGGCAGCAGCGAGTCCACGGAGTGGTGGAGGCATTCCGCGGCTGTCTGAGCAGGCAGTGTCTAAGGGTAGAGTTTCAGACAAAGAGTCCGTCGGCACGAGCCTGGCACAGACGGCACAGTGCTGAGCATCCTGGTAGCTGTCAGGCCAGCCCTGTAAGAGAGGCGTCTCTTCAGAATGGTTATGAGAATTGGTCGTAGAGTGCCCTTCACCTGTTGCCAGTGGCGCAAACATACCTGGGAGAGACTTGGAGTGATTCTGATACCGTCCTGTGGCATATGGTAAGGTCGTGGCCGGGATGGATGTCTCAAGCCTGGGTGGATCTTCCAGACCTGAGTCCCCAGTCATCTGGTACAGTGGCAGGATTATTCCCTGGTAGAGGGATTGACTACCCGGGCCAGCCACCAGCCAACATTCGAGCATGCCGACGAGGGTCTTCGGTCGATATTTGCCATGGCCTGAGACATGAGTGGCCTGATACTCTGCTAGCCTGTAGCTGGACGGCAGAGAAGTCGAGAGGTGTGCAGTGGCAGCTGGGTGGGGCCCTGCATTGGAAGACCTGAAAGGCAGACGGGAGAACACCCTTACCCTCGACCGTGCCGACCAGGCAAGCTCAGAGACTACCCTGCCTTGTGTTCCGTCAGCTGACGTGGCCTGCCCACTCACTGTCGAAGCCGGCTCTGCCTTGGACAGCAGAAGTCGAATCATGTCCTGTGCGAGGACACCTGAAGCCGTGGAATCAGAGGAAACCTCCCTCGAGCGTGGCACGGGCAAGGTCGCCATAGGCCTGAGCAGGTGATTCGGTTCTCCAAGCCTGTCAGTCCACAGGAAAGTGACATTGCAGATTGCCAGCAGAGCACTGTGGTATGGTCGACGAGAGCTGCCGGGGTTCTCGGGTACATCAATCTGCATTGCATCATCCGCAGCTCGGTTGACTGCACTGATGCGAAGCACTGTCTGAAACATTTGCCGCCGGCTGGCACGCTTCCGC